GGTTCAGGACTTTTCTTAAGGGAAGTATTTTTATGACCTGTTCAATTTCTTCCTTTGTGATGGATCTGTTCAAGTGTTCTACATCTCTCTGGGTCAATCTGGATAGGGCATGAGTGTCAAGGCATTTGTTCATTTCCTGTACATTTAAAAATTTATCTGAGTATAGCTTTTGATAGTATTCCAACATTATCAATTTAATGTCATCTGGTTCTGTTGTGATGGCACATCTCTGTGTCTTCTCTTCCACCCCCTCCTTTTATTAAGTTTGACAGTGGTTTGTCAATTTTATTGACCCTTTTGTAAAAATAGCTCCTGGTCTTAGTGATGGTTTCAATTATTTTTCTGTTCTCAGTCTTATTTATTTCAGCCTTTGTCCTTATAATTTTCTTTCTTCTAGTGGCTGTCAGATTAGATTTTTGTTCTTTTTCTATTTGATGAAGGTGTTGTGTTAGATCATTGATTAATGCAAAACCTAAACTTGGACCAAGAGGCAGTCGTCAGAACAGAGCATGGAAACACTGCATGGTTCAAAGTTGGGAAGGGCGTACACCAGGGATGTGTCCTGTCTCCATACACTTTCAACCTGTATGCAGAACAGATTATCTGGGAGGCTGGGCTCTATCAGAAGTGTGGCATCAGGATTGGTGGAAGATCTATCAACAATCTGCATTATGCAGATGACACAACCCTGCTTGCTGAAACTGAGGAGGACCTGAAGCACTTGCTGCTGAGGGTTAAGGACTGCAGCCTTCAATGTGGATTGAAGCTCAATATCAAGAAGACAAAGATTCTCACTACTGGACCAATTGGCAGCATCAGGATGGATGGTGAAGAGATTGAGATTGTTCACAGCTTCAGTTTGCTTGGTTCCACAGTCAACATTCTTGGCACCAGCAACCAGGAAATTAAAAGATGTATTGAGATGGGATAGTCTGCTGTTACGGACCTCTCCAAAGTTCTGAATAACAATGGTGTCTCTCTGGAGACTAAGGTTCATCTGATACAGGCCATGGTCTTTGCAATCACTTGCTATGAATCAGAGAGTTGGACAATGACTAGGGAGAATGGAAGGAGAATTGATATCTCTGAGCTGTGGTGCTGGAGAAGAGTGTTGAGGGTACCATGGACTGCTAAGAAAACAAACAGATTCATCCTGGAGAGGGTTAGGCCAGGTTGCTCCTTGGAGGCAAGGATTCTGAGGCTTTGTCTGACATACTTTGGACATGTTATAAGGAGGGACCGGTCCTTTGAGAGGGACATAATGCTCAGGAGGGTGGAGAGACAGCGCAGGAGGGGAAGGCCCTCTACGAGTTGGATTGATTCAGTGACTGGGGTAATCAGGATGGGTGTGTTGGAGACAGTGAGATTGGCACAGGACAGAACAGAGTTTAGGGCTGTTGTACATAGGGTCATTATGAGTTGCAAGCGACTCGATGACACATAACAACAAAAACAAACTTCCTTTTTTATGTGTGTGCCTATTAATATGAACTGCCCCTGAAGACTGCTTTAGCTACATCATAGAGATTTTGCTATGTTAAGTTTTCATTTGTTTCAAGGAACTTTTTTATTTCATTCTTTACTTCTTTTATAACCTAATTATGTTTTAACAGAGTTTTTTCGCTTCCACTCAGGTGGTTTTGTAAGTTTTACCGTCCTGTGATTAATTTCTAGAGTTATGGCATTGTGGTCTGAGAAGATACTTTGTACAATCTCAATTTTTTTTTTTAAATTTGTTGAGGCTTCCTTTGTATCCTAATATATAATCCATTCTGGAGAATGTACTATATGTACTTGAGAAGAAAGTGAATTGAGTTTTAGCTGGGTGCAGAACCCTGAAAATATCCACAAGGTCAAGTTGGCTGACTGTATAGTTTAGATCTTCTACATGTTTGCTAAATTTCTTTTGAGTTGACCTATCCTTTGGTGATAGTGGTGTCTTGAAATCTCCTACCATAATTGTGGTACTGTCTATTTCTTTCTTCAATTCTCTTAACTGTTGTTTTATGTATTTTTCAGGTCTACCATTTGGTGCATAAATATTGACCAAAGTTATGTCTTCTTGACCTATTGTGCCTTTAATATGTATGTAATGCATGTTCTTGATGAGTCTTCCTCCAATCTTGATACTACATTGCTCCTCATAAAGTACAACCTTCCATCTGATCTGTTCCAAATACAGATTGAGAAGGGATGGAGACAGGACTCATCCCTGACATACTTCTTTTCTAATTTTGAACCATGCAAGGTTTCCTTACTCTGTTCTAATGACTACTTCCTGGTCCAAATAGAGGTTTTTCATGAGCACAATCATGTGTTCTGGGATTTCCATTCTTCTCAAGGTTAACCACAAGAATTATTATAGTAGGTGCCTCAAATGTGATCCTTTAATTGGCTCCACTAATTTTACTTCCTTAAAGAGTATGGGAAGCCAAATTTTATACCAAATAGTATATGAAAACCCTTGTTCAGGAATTGAAGGAATTACAGATATGTAAGTTAGGATTTCTCTTGTGACAGATCCTAGAAAATGAGCTGTTTGTTCCCGGCAAGACAGGAGACAGCAAGGGACCCCCTACAGAGGGAGTGTTACTTCCTGAGCTAGAGTTCACCCTGAGGCATCAAGGTTAATAGCTAAGGGTAAACCAAATTCTTGCATTTGTGAACCCCTTCTTCCTGAGTTAAGCAGAAGGTTTTCAATAGAAAGAGCTTGGCTTCATTTGCATTTAATTCTCTTTGTGATTTACTTCCTGATAATTTTCAATAAAGATACAGAGAAGCTTGACTTGGGGTCTTCAGTCGAGAACTGCTGGCCCCCTGTTTTATGCTCTCTGCTCTATCACATTCCTGGCTGTTTGTCTCTTTATTAATAATTATAAAATTATTCCATTCTTTGGGACCCTCGGTCTGCAACAAAAGAGTATACCTGGGGCCTTAGCAGGGATCCACCTTATAAAATAGTCCCACAAGTGGTTGATTGTTGATTTTAAATTCAAGAATGAGACCCTCTAAGGCTAGAATAAGTAAAAATGTATTTCAAGTTGTTTTCTACCTGCATGTTTTCGAATTTATTATTGTTGAATACCCTGTAGTGAGACAATTATGCCAAACACTTCTACTATCATTAGGCAATTATTATTCCTCTGTCAGACAGAAATTTATTTTCCTCTTTATCCACTTCTTCATTGTCTCAAGAACTATAATTTCAGACTTACATGAAAGCCATCTCTGTAAGGATCCCTTTTCTGTCCCCCATGAAACACTAACTGCCCTGTAAACATTAAACTCTTTCTCTTTACCTCTTGAAGGCATAGTGCACATTTTCCATAGGGTTATCTTATGAATTTTTTTTGTGTAATTTTGTATGAACCTCTGTTTTGTTAACTAGGATGTGAGATATTTGAAGATGTTCATTTAGACATTGTTGTTGTTGTTGTTATGTGCCGTCGAGTCGCCTGCGACTCATAGCGACCCTATGTACAACAGCCCTAAACTCCGCTCTGTCCTGTGCCAATCGCACTGTCTCTGACACTCCCATCCCAATTATCCCAGTCACTGAATCAATCCACCTCATAGAGGGCCTTCCTCTCCTGCGCCGTCCCTCTACCCTCCCAAGCATGATGTCCCTCTCCAAGGACCAGTCTCTCCTCACTACATGTCCAAAGTAAGTTAGACGGAGCCTCAGAATCCTTGCCTCCAAGGAGCCACCCGGTTTAACCCTCTCCAGGACAAATCTATTTGTTTTCCTAGCAGTCCATGGTATTCTCATTACTCTTCTCCAGCACCACAGCTCAAAGGCATCAGTTCTCCTTCTATCCTCCTTGGTCATTGTCCAACTCTCTGATGCATAACAGGTGATTGCGAAGACCACGGTCTGTATCAGACGCACCTTAGTCTCCACAGAGATACCACTGCTCTTCAGCACTTTGGAGAGGTCCCTAACAGCAGACTTTCCCATGGCAATGCGCCTTTTAATTTCTTGGCTGCTGGTGCCAAGACTGTTGACTATGGAGCCAAGCAAACTAAAGCTGTGTACAATCTCAATCTCTTCACCATCCATCCTGATGCTGCCGATTGTTCCAGTGGTGAGAATCTTTGTCTTCTTGACATTAAGCCTCAATCCATATTGTAGGCTGCAGTTCTTGACACTCTGCAGCAGGCGCTTCAGGTCCTCCTCAGTTTCAGCAAGCAGGGTTGTGTCATCCGCATCGATATTTAGACATTGCTTTATTTATATACTAATGAGCACTGGAAAATGAAAAATAAAGTTACTTGGATTAATCAATAAATTCATTGAAAGAAACCTGTTATATGAATTTTCCACTATTTCTTTTTTTATATATTGGTTTACATACAAAATTAATAATGTCCATATACACTGTTTTTCAATTTTCCACTATTTCTATTTCTCTGTTCCAAAAAACTTTCAATCACCATAAATTCTATTAAATATTGACTTACCAAAAGGTAATGTTTATGCTTATAATTTCATTTTGTCTGAAATTAACTCAAGCTAGTTCCCATTAACTCTATTAACAAAAACTCAGTCCTGAACAATAAAAGCCCTGTTCTCTGTGTTTTAGAGAGGAAAATCATAAAGCAGTTCATCTTTGAGTTTCCAAACATCTCTTTCCTGAGAAGAATGGAAGATCATTGATCAAGTATATTTTCATTTGAATTCAAAGTGTATCTGCCTGAAAGCTCACTGTTCACTTTCTAGAAAGTTCTTAGAACAGTTTCTTTTACATAGAAGTCTTTTAAGTTGGTTTGGTTTTGTATGTCTGAAAGTTTCTGTGACTTTGTTGAAGCTATCTACCTGTCTGATCTTAAAGAACTCAAAGAAACTTAAATTGCCTTGTTGAGGTGGTGATGTGAGGCCCATTGAAGAGAAAGCAATAGCAGGATCAAAACTGACTGAGTGACTGGGAACATTTTCTCTCTTTGAACTTCTTTCCCTAAGTCACTGTGTCTTTCTTGTGGGAACTACTCATTCTGCCTTAATGGTCTTTGAGGATATTCTGGATCAAGTTGGGGGCCTGGGGAGAGCCCATGTTCATCAGATTATTTTCATTTTTGTCATTTTGATGTTATCGTATCCTCATGTTCTACTGGAAAACTTTATTGCGGCCACCCCGGATCATCGTTGCTGGGTTCACATCCTTGACAACAAAACTGTCTCAGCTAATGATACTGATGGTCTCAATCCTGAGGCCCTCTTGCGAATCTCCATTCCACTGGACACAAACCTGAGGCCAGAGAAGTGTCGCCGTTTCCTCCACCCCCAGTGGGAACTTCTTCACATGAACAGGACCTATACCAACGTAAATGAATCAAATACAGAGCCCTGTGTAGATGGTTGGGTATATGATCAAAGTTTCTTCTACTCCACTATTGTGACTGAGGTAAGAAGCTCTAGTCCTGCTTATGTGATTGGGGTGTGTGGGGTTAATAGGAAGAATGATCATCTGCCAAGCATGTGCCCTTCATGGTCACTGTGGTTATCTCTTTCTTCATTCCTCTAAAAACCCTCACACTTGTTGTTGAACTTAACTTTGAGAGGCTGTAAATTGTATGGTAGGAGAGTATGCTCTTTCTCTTTTGGGCAATTAGTGAATTCAAACTACACCCCTTTGGATCAACAGTGCAACTCTTCACCAGTTAAGATCTCATTATTTGGAGCACAGATAAAGAATAAAATTGATGGACATTGGCATTAAGCTATTTTAATGTGATGGGAATAGTTCCCAGTGTTCCTAGATAATCTTTTAGAAACTGAGATAATAAGCGTATTGTGTTTGTCAGACCATCAGTGCTTTCTTCATTATTTATTTTTATTGCCAGGTGCTGTTGAATTGAGTATAGCTCATAGGAGCCCTATGAGCAATAGATCTGAATCCTGTCCATTCTCAACACCTGAGCCTGTTGCTGCCATCACTGTGTCAATCTATCTCCGTATGTGTGTGTGTCTTTATTTAAGACAACGAGTTGAACATATAAACATGAATCTTGCTATCAAGAATGTTCTAATCTAATGAGAAAGACTCATTTTTTTTAAAAGAAAGCAATTGAAACGTCATGTGACAAAATGCTATGCTTGGTTATTCATAATCTTGACTTAAATTTATGCCCAAATCACATTCCCAAGACAAATTAAATAAAAATCATTGGGCATAGGATGTAAACATTAGAATTTATTATTATTATTAATTTTAATGAAAGTTTACAGAGACTTTGGATTTCCATTCATTCACTGTTGCATGTTTCTCCCTGCCCACCCTTCCCCTCCAGTTCGCTCCTCTCTTTCAAAAGTAAAAGAAAAATTCTTTCATTATTATACAATCCCTCCACTCAAGTCCCTTCCACTACTCACCTTTCATTCTGGACTCCTGTCATGACAATAAAACCTAATCATATATCCTTTTTAAACAGTTCTCTCTCTCATCTGTTTCAATGCAGTATACATACTTTGTCCCATCTTTCTCAGTCTACCCCCAACCCCAATGTCAGTCTCATTTTACAACAGTGGCACTATGTCGTATTTGTCCTTTTGTGACAGAGATATTTCACTCAGCATAATGTCCTCAAGGATCACCCATTTTGAATAATATTTCATGGATTCCTTGTTTTTCAATGCAGCATAGTATTCTATTGTGTGAATATACCACAGCTTCTCTTTTATACATTTGTTTGTTGATGGGCACTTATGTAAACATGGTGCACCTGACATTAGAATTTTTTTAAAATGATTTTATTTTATTATTATTTTTTGTACATGTACCGTCAAATCATATCTGACTGGTTGTTGTTGTTGTTGTTGTTGTTATGTGCTGTTGAATCGCTTGCGACTCATAGCGATCCTATGTACAACAGCTCTAAATTCTGCTCTGTCCTGTGCCAATCTCACTATCTCTGACACACTCATCCTAATTGCCCCAGTCATCGAATCAATCCACCTCCCAGTGGGCCTTCCCAAGCGTGAATGTCCTTCTCCAAGGGCTGGTCTCTCCTTACAACATGACCAAAGTATGTCAGATGAAGCCTCAGAATCCTTGCCTCCAAGGAGCAGCCTGGAGAACCCTCTCCAGAATGAATCTGTTTGTTTTCCTAGCAGTCCATGGTACCCTCAGCACTCTTCTCCAACAACAAAGCTCAAAAGCATCAATTCTCTTTCTATCCTCCCTGGTCATTGTCCAGCTCTCTGACACATAACAAGTGATTGCAAAGACCATGGCCTAAAAAAAAAAAAACAAAACACAAAGACCATGGCCTGTACCAGACGCACCTTAGGCTCAAGAGACACACCATTGTTCTTCAGTACTTTAGAGAGGTCCCTAACAGCAGACTTTCCCATCACAATACACAATACGTCTTTTAATTTCCTGGCTGCTGGTGCCAAGAGTGTTGATTGTGGAGCCAAGCAGACTAAAGCTGTGAATAATCTCAATCACTTCACCATCCATCCTGATGCTGCCAATTGGTCCAGTGGTGAGAATCTTTGTCTTCTTGACATTGAGCCTCAGTCCATATTGAAGGCTGCAGTCCTTGACCCTCAGCAGTAAGTGCTTCAGATACTCCTCAGTTTCAGCAAGCAGGATTGTGTCATCTGCATAACGCAGATTGTTGATAGATCGTCCACCAATCCTGACCTCACATTTCTCCTCATAGAGCCCAGCCTCCCGGATGATCTGTTCTGCATACGGATTGAAAATGTATGGAGACAGGACACATCCCTGGCGTACACCCTTCCCAATTTTGAACCATGCAGTGTTCCCTTGTTCTGTTCTGACAACTGCCTCCTGGTCCAAGTATAGGTTTCGCATTAGCACGATCAAATGTTCTGGGATTCCCATTCTTCTCAGTCAGCTACAGTTTGTTATGGTCCACAGAGTTAAACGCCTTTGCATAATCAATGAAGCACAGACTGGTAAAAGAGAAAATTGTCTCTCCTCCCACAGAGCATCTCGTGGGTTTGGACCTTGCTCCTCTGGGATTGCAGTGCAGCTACTTGCCACTAGGTCACCAGAGCTCCCTTGACATTAGAATTTTTAACAGCTTTTTAAAATAATGTGATCAGAATTAGAAATGAAAACCAAAGCATGGGCTTAATGTTAACTACAATATCAGAGAAAGTTTCCTCAAAAAGTTATATTTTAGATATGACATCAAGCATGTATATAAATTAATGCAATGAATGTAGTAGGAAGTCTATGGAGCATAGATAAGAATTTCTAGATGTAGGCATACAGGCATAGATTGCAGCAAGATTATGAATAAGAAAAATCTAGTGAATTTTGAAGGCTTAAAAGCTAGTAAATGAAGAGTATTAGGGTAATAGGGGAGAATATCTAGGAATGGAATTACAGAAGAAGTCAAGCCCTGTATCACAGAAAAATGTGCTTTTGTGCTTAAGAGTTCATTGTTAGATTCTACTAAACTCTTTAAATTTAGTCTTAAAGTTTATTTTTATTTCTTTCTTCCTCTTTCAGTGGGACCTGGTATGTGAATCTCAATGGTTAAGATCAATGGCTCAATTCCTTTTGATGATTGGGTCTTTGGTTGGGGGAATAATATACAGTTATTTCACAGACAGGTAGGTGTCACTTCTATTTATTCTGAACTGTTTATCTATTGACACATGCTTTGTTTCATTTAATAAACTTTACTGAGTTCTAACTATGAATCTTTTACTTCAGTAAGTGCTAAGTTCTGTCTCTTGGAAGCAACAACCTACCAAGAATGCCTTATGTGTTACTGGAAAACATAATTTGATATGATAAATCTATTCAATGTACTGAGTGAAACAAGAAAAGAACATAGAATTCAGACATACAAAAAAAAATAGGGAAGAGATCTTCAGGTCGATTCCCATACATGAGATTTAGAGTACAAGCTCATTTGTTGTAAGAGATGAAAGGGGATTTGTTGTGTGTTCAAAAGCACAAATTTGTAAGTAGGATTTTTTTGCCTTGGCTGTGTTATGAATCTTCCAGTCTCCCCCTGTAAGTTAAATGATTAAGAATTTCTTCAGACTGGTTATCAAGCCAACTGGTTATCACATTAGTGGCAATTCATGTCACGGGTAGTTATGAAATATTTAATATTATATGAAACCTATACTTGGACCAGAAAGCAGTAGTCAGAACAGAGCAGGGAAGCACTGCATGGTTCAGGATCAGGAAAGGTGTGCATTAGGGATACATCCTATCCCCATACATTTTAAATCAATATGCAGAACAGATCATTTTGAAGGCTGGGCTTTATGAGAGGAATGTAGTATCAGGGTTGGAGGAAGATTCATCAACAATCTGCATTATGCAGATTACACAATCTTGCTTATTGAAACTGAAGAGGACATGAGATGTTTGCTGCAGAAGGTCAGGGACTGTAGTCTTCAATATGGATTGAAGTTCAACATCAAAGAAACATAAATTCTCACATTTGTGTCAACTGGCAACTTTGTGATGGATGGAGAAGAGATAGGTTGTTGAAAACTTCAGCTTACTTGATCTCCTATCAGCACTCTTGACACCAGCAGTCAAGAATGCAAAAGATGAATTGCACTGGGAAAGTCTGCTGTCCAGGACCTCTCTAGAGCACTGAAGAACAATGAAATCAGTCTAGAGACTAAGGTGCACCTATGGTCTTCCCAATTACTTGCAATGCATCAGAGAGCAGGACAATAACTAGAGAAGATAGAAAAAGCATTGGTGCCTTTGAGTTGTGGTGTTGGAGAAGAGTGCTGAACAAACTATGGACTGCAAGGAGAACACAGGTCTGTTCTGGGGAGGGTGAAACCAGGCTGCTCCCTAGAGGCAAGGAATTTGATGCTCCGTCTTTCATACCTAGGGTAATGTGACCAGGAGGGATGAGTCCTTGGAGAGGTACATCATGCTTGGAAGGGTGGAGGGACAGACAACACAGGAAAGGAAGACCCAGGATGAGATGGATTGACTCAGTGACTGGAGAAATGGGATTAAGTCTGTTGGAAATGATGAGACTGGCTTAGGATAAGGCAGGATTCAGAGTAATGTACACAGAGTTGCTATGAATTGCAGGTGACTTGATGGCACATAAAAACAACAACAGAAAAAATGTGGTAGTGTTGATATTGTAAGAAATTACAACTGTAACCTGGACGCTGAGAGGGATGAAGTGTCTTTTAGATGATTTTTGTAACCATATGATAATATGTTGTTTGTTGTTGTTTGGTGCTGTCGAGTCGTAGACGACTCATAGTGACCCTATGAACGAACAGCCTGAGCACTGTTCGTACATAGAGTTTCCCGAGGCAAGCCATTTCGGAAGTGGATGCCGCTCCTGCTTCCAGGCTTGATTTAGTCGGGAAGCTCCAGCCAACACTGTCCACCATGGGTGCCCATTACCACGATTGGCACACCAGTGTCACAGTTTTCAGCATCACAGCAACCACAAGTCACCTCTGTACAACAACACACAAACCAGTGCTATACCACCTAGAAGAATGTTTGACAGGAAAATAATTTGAACCTGGCCGAGGGCCGCAGATGAAAATCACCCACCTTCGGCTTGGTTGCAAGCAACTGGACGGCACAAAGCAACAACAACAACAACTCTTCTACTATGATTAACTTTTGGTTCTTCGAAGCTGACCATCCTTTGTTGTTTCTTTCCTAATCCCTTACCAGGGAGATAGCTCATGTTAACATCATATTCTTAGCCTACTCTGAAATTGTAGGAATTTGCAACGTGGCTCCCCATTGAGCTAGCAAATCTCTTCCCCCTAATGAAACTGCAATATTTGCAATGAAAAGCTGTAATTTTGCTATCTGTCCTTCGGGTCCTTTACATTTTAACATATATTCACTTTGTTTTATTCCTGTCATAGTTCCTATTCCTGTAAAAGTAACAGAGACATCTTTTAATTGTAATTCACTAGGCCAAAGATGAGTAGCAGTGATAGATACATCAACTCTGGTATCACCTGATCCTTGAATTTCATATCTTTCTAATTTTACAGTCATTTGAGGATGGGTATCGTTAATGATAGTATTACAATAGATATAAGTCTCAGTACTGCCAAACCTTTGTCTTTTTGTAGGAATTGCCCTTTGTTTTATATAAGGCAGGAGCAATAATTGAGCTACTCTTTGGCCTTTTAACAAGATTTGATGTTGTCAAGTAGTTGTCACTATAATTATTTCTCCATTATAATCGGGATATCACTCTAATATGTACAAATGTTCCTTATTAAACCAGTTCTTCCTATAATCAGTCTTACAGTCTCTTTAGGGATCTTATTTCCATGAGACAGCCTCTGCTCACTGGATATTGAAGACAACTCTCTTTGTTTTAAAGCCTCTAGTTTCTTTCTTGTTAGGGGCCACTGCTGTGCCCTGCACCTGTTCTCAGAGGTGTCTTTCTATTATAATGAACATGGCACTTATACTTGGAAAAAAAAACTACTTTGTTTCTTTTCACTTTAGAAAGTCTAACTTTTTGGATTTTATAGGTATTTGACTTTTATGACATATCTTTTTATAATTTTTGTTCTTTACATTTACCCTGGGAACAAAATTGTGTTTTCTTTCTTATTTGTTTCTAAACTTTTAGATCACATTATCTATGCAGTTTCTAATTTATGTATGTATGTATGTATGTATGTATGTATGTATGTATGTATGCATTTATCTTCACTCTATTGCTTACATTGTGGCCTTTTTTAATGTTCTAAATTAAGAGTTTTCTTTTATGTAAGCTTCATTCTTATATTTTTTACTTTTCCTATTTCCCAGAAATTATCGGATTATGTGAGCTCAAACCTATTATCACATTAAACTTAAAAACCAAACAAAGAAACAACAAACTTAAACAAAATATACCAAAAAACCAAAACAATCTACAAAAATACTGATAAGCTTCTGCTTTGAGATTTAGCACTTTTTTCCTTTCTTTTTTCTTTTTTCTTAAACCATATTCAGGACTGAGTCTTCCTAAGGCTCTTTCTAAAGGTGAAAAGGGCTTTTTCTTGCCTTCAGCTTTAACCTTCTCTAATGTAGTATCAATTAATTCATATTCATCCAAAGATTCAGCCTTCTGTCTTTGTAAAATTTTTTTTGTTATGTGTACAATCCTGCATGGACATCATTACTCTTCTTATCGAAGTCAATACTGGCCAAGAAGCAATGGGGATTTTTCTTTTTTATGTGCACTTTGCAAATCTCTCTTAACATTATGCCAAGTTTTTAAGTCCAATTGAGATCTACCAACTGGCTGAAACCAGTAACAATGTTTTTTAATGCATTTAAAAAACTGCATAAAAGATTTTTCTTTCACTTTTACCCTGGAGTGCTTAAACAACTCCTTTAAGAGAGAAAGATATTGAGCTTCAGAGGATGGCATGTTCCTCATGGCTCTTTTTTCACTTCTTCCTCTGAGTTTTTTTAAGAAATTTACTTCAGCGGTTTTGGGAAAGTCCCCATGAAATTTTTTCTAATTCTTCCCTTGACTTTATCCTTCAAGGGGTGAGAGAATCCTCATGAAATGCTTTCTATTTCTACCCTTGACTTGCAAAGGGTGAGGGAATCCTCATGAGACCTTTTTCTACTTCCACCCTTGACTTCTGAGAGGTGAGGAAATCCTCTTGACTCTGCCTGAAGGAAATTTTCCTGAAAGACTTCAGTTACCTTTGGTTTCCCCATGCCAGAGAGAGAGAGAGAGAGAGAGACTGCCACTTACTTCAGGTCCCTGGTTCGGGTGCCAGATGTGCAAACTGGACACAGAAGAAAGCAGGGACACGAGGAAATGAATTCCGAAAAGAGGGAAGATTGAGGCAGAGGTCCTCTCACAAGCTTAGCACTGTGAAAAGGCCCCTCTCTTAGTCTCACTATGGTTTTTATTTCGTTTAGGTCAATCATCCTCAAAAAGTTCAATCTCCAGAGATTATATTTTCCTTATACTTAAGTGTTGCCAACATAACAATGGGTAAGCTTAATCTTTAAACTAAGACCAAAGTTCAGACAAGGCATCCCCTCGGGTGGCAGGCTGGGCAGAACTCGCTGTTTGCAGAGGGTGCTCAGTCCTGTCTGGACTCTGATCTTAGCTGCAACCCGGCTAACGCTATGCGGGGGAATCCACACTTGCTGGTCTTATGTGGATCCTTCCTGTGGTTGAACTTTCTTACTGTACATTTGACTCCCATCTGCTTGTGGTTGGTATAAGAAGCCTTCAACATACTTAGAAGTTTGAAAGACTGTGACTGCGACTTTAGAGTTTGGCTAATGGCAGGTTCTCGAGGTCACCACATGTTATTTTTTGTCCTTCAATAATCTTGCATCTGCTATTTCTCAGGTTTGGACGGAAGTTAGTATTCAGATGGTGTTTCCTCCAGTTTGCCATCTCAGAGACGTGTGTGGCCTTCGCTCCCACCTTCCTCGTTTACTGCGTCTTACGCTTCTTGTCCGGACTCTGTATCACAAATGTGATGACAAATGTTTTCCTCCTCAGTAAGTCAATAGTTTATACATCTTATTATCCCTATGCCTGAAATTGTTCTTGAAATGACCCTTGGCCTGAAATGAATACGACCCCTGTGTTTTCTTCTAGGGTCAGAATGGACATTGCCCAAATATCAGGCAATGGAGATGTCCCTGCTTTACAGTGCCATCAGCATCGGGAATACGCTTCTGGGAGGCATTGCTTTCGCCATCCAGGACTGGCGCACACTGCAGCTGGCTGTTTCTGTACCTTGCCTTGTCCTCTTTGTCCTCTCCAGGTACAGACAATCTCCTACTGTTTTGCTAACAGAGGCTGGGATGAGCCTAGGCAGGAGAATTCTGACATGGGGGTTTGCTTGGTCTCTGGTTTGGTTCTGAGGCACGGTCCCCTATCTGTGTCCACAGTGACACTCGAGACACACAAGAAGTAGAATGTCCCTCCCTCTGTGGGGCTAAGGCTTCTAATCAGGCCTGATTGTTAACCCTTCACTTGAATTATCAACAGAGAATTGTTATGTTTCTTAACAAGAAAACACCATGGGTATTTTTGCTTTCAAGCTTCATATCTCTCCCTCTCTCTTTATTGATTTGCATACAGTAATTTTTGTACATTATGTTTCCTACAAGTACATTTATTCTCTTCTATACACCAACAAAGAACTTACAGATGTGCAGGCTGGGTTTAGAAGAGGCTGTGGCACTAGGGACATCGTAGTCAACGTTAAATGGATCTTGGCTGAAAGCTGAGAGTACCAGAGGAATGTCTATCTGTATTTCATTGAGTATGCAAAGGCATTTGTCTTTGTGGATCACCACAAATTGTGGCTAATCTTGCAAAGAATGGGGAACCCCAGAACTCTTAATAAATAGTGTTCTTGCAAAACCTATGTTTGGACCAGGGAGCAGCAGTCACAACAGAGCAGGGAAGCACTACATGGTTCAGAATCAGGAAACGTGAGCATCAGAGATGCATCCTGTCTCCATTCCTTTTAAATCTATATTCAGAACACATCATTCAGGAGACTGGACTTTATGAGGAGGAATGTGGTATCAGGATTGAAGGAAGACTCATCAGTAGCTTGTGTTATGCAGATGACACAACCTTGCTTGCTGAAACTGAAGAGGACATGAGGTGTTGCTGCAGAAGGTCAGGGACTGTAGTCTTCAATATGGATTGGAGCTCAACATCAAGAAAACAAAGATTCTCACCATTGGGCCAATTGGCGACTTCATAAAAGAAAGAGAAGGGATTGAGATTATTAATAACCTCAGCTTGCTTGGTTCCACAATCAATACTCTTGGCACCAGCAGTCAGGAACTCAAAAGATGAACGGCATTGGGAAAATCTGCTGTCAGGGACCTTTTTATAGTACTGAAGAGCAATGAGTCAGTCTCGATACTAAGGTGAACCTGATCCAGGTCATGGTCTTTACAATTACTTCCTATGCATCTGAGAGCTGGACAGTAAGGATTGTAGAAGAAGGATTGGTACTTTTGAGTTGTGGTTCTGGACAAGAGTGTTAAACATACCGTGGACTGCCAGGAGTACAGACAACTTTGTCCTGGAGAGGGTGAAACTGGGCTCCTTCCTAGAGGCAAGGATTTGAAGCTCTGTCTCATATACTTTTGGCATACGGCAAGGAGGGAACAGTCCTTGGAGAGGAACATCATACTTGGAAGAGTGGAGAGACAGCACAGGAGAGAAAGATCCAGGATGAGATGGATTGACTCAGTGATGGGAAAAAGGGATTAGGTCAGAGACAATGAGATTGGTTCAGGATAGAGCAGGGTTCAGAAGGTCACTATGAGTCACAGGCAACTCAATGGCACATAACAACAACAACATACAATCATTCATATATACTATGTTTCATCATGCATATTGTTGTGTGCCATTGAGTCAGAACCCACCCCGTAGCTGACCCTCCAGAAATTATTCAGAGGCAGTAAATCACATGGGAGGAGATTGCCCATCTTTCTCTGACGGAGCAGCTGGTGGATTCGAATCATATGCCTTGGGGATTGCAGTGCAGCTTCTTACCACTAGGCCACCGGAGCTACATATAAACAGCCATATGCGTTGTGTTTCATTCACATACATTGTGTTTCATACAATCATTCATCTACACTGTGTATCATTCATGTGCATCGTTTTATACAACCACTCATTGTGTTTTATGTAATTAATTACTATTGATTTATGCCTTTTATCACCCTGTCTCTTCAAGTCTCTATCGTATCTTTCCTATTCCTTCACCTCCCCCATCTGCCCACTAATTTCTGCTGTCTCCCCTCCCCTTTTCACACCCCCTTTCTTCATTCGCCCTTCCCCATTTCAACATTTATCTATTTCTTGCTCAGTTATCATCTTATTCTCACATTAATGGCCTTATGTAGGATTTGTCCTTTGGTGCCTGAGTTAGTTCACTCAACATGATGCTCTGTAGACTCCCTGAGGTTGTGTCTTAGTTTACAAACACTTAGTTGTTCTTTAATACCTCATAGAATTTCACTGTATGAATATACCACCGTTTCTCTGTTCATTCATTTGTTGATGGGCATTTGGGCTGTTTCCATTTTCTTGCTGTTGTGATAATGCTTCTATGAACAAGTTGTTGTTATCTACCACTGAGTCAGAATCCATTCATAGCTGACCCTCCAGTGGGTTTTCATTGACAGTAACTTGCATGAGAGTTGACTGCCGATCTTTCTCCCACAGAGCAGCTGATAGATTCTCGCCTGTGGGTTGACAGTGCAGCTCTTTGTCTAAGCCCCCACTGTGTCTCCATTCATGCCACAGCTCTGATTTCTTCAGCGTATAACCCTAGCAGTGGAATAGCTGGGCCATATGGGATGTCTTTGCCTTTTTGAGGAAACACCAAATTGACTTCCAGAATGGTTGCACCCTTTTACAATGCTACCAGCAGTGCAGGGAGTTCCTATCTCTCTGCCTCTCCCCTAACCCTTATTGCTTGCTGTCCTAGTTAACTTTGCAACTCCTATTGGCATGAGATGGTATCTCATTGATTTGATTTGTATCTGTCTAATTGCCAGTGATTTTGAACATTTCATCATGTGCTTGTTGGCCATCCTAATAGCCTTTATGGTGACAAGAATTTTTATGCTTTTGTGTAATTGGTTTTCCAGGTTTGTACTTGTGGAGGCCCTGAAATGTTCTGTAAGCTTAAGTTATGGGACTCTTGACTGAAATGTCATTACCACATGGTTTTCCCTAGTTTGTGGGATTTCTTTTCAACCTATTGGGAAAAGGTTTTAATGTATAAAGATATTTGAATTTTTTGAAGATCCTGTTTGTCAGTTTTATTATCTCCTGATTATATATTTTTCCTACATTTACAAGCCTATTTATGGCATAGGTTATTGTTTGTTGTTGTTAT